TTCGTCAAACCAATCTTGATGTTTCTTGGCTTGGTATCCAATAGTTTCTTCGCAGGCTTGGATGATGGAGGTCTTCAGTTTGTTCCAATGTTCCTCAACATTTTCGGGGTGTACTGTGGGTAGATGGTCCTTGAGTGCTGTTTGGAGATGGGCTCGTCTGGAGGGCTCCTGAAGGGCTTGGGTGTTCATTTTGCGCCTTGTCTTTCTTCCTTGGAGCCTGCGCTTGGGGGCAATCTTGAGAGCCATCGTTGATCGGATTAGCCTGTGGTCAGTCCAGCAGTTGTCAGCACCTGTCATGGCTCTTGTGAGGAGCACCTCACGGCGGTCTCTGGCACGTGTGATTACATAGTCTAAGAGGTGCCAATGCTTTGACCGGGGGTGCTTCCATGATGTCTTGAACTTGTTTTTCTGGCGGAAGAGCGTGTTGGTGATGACAAGGTTGTGTTCTGCACATTTGGTGAGAAGCAGGATGCCATTCGAGTTGCTGTTTCCAATCCCGTCTTTTCCTATGGTCCCTGGCCACAGGTCGAAGTCTCGCCCGACTCTTGCATTGAAGTCCCCCAGGAGGATGATTTTGTCCTCCTTAGGTATCCCCGATAGGACGGTGTCCAGCTGACAGTAGAATTTCTCCTTGATGTCTTCATCAGCATCTAGTGTTGGTGCATAGGCACTTATGATGGTTGCCTGTTGGTTTTTGGCAAGATCAATTCGGAGGGTTGAGAGTCGTTCGTTGATGCCAGTGGGTGCTTCGGTCAGATGTTTCACCAGATCATTTCTGATAGCAAAGCCAACTCCGTGCATTCTTTGGTCTTCTTCAGGCAGTCCCTTCCAGAAGAAGGTGTAGCCTCCTTTTTCTTCCTTCAGCTGTCCCTCTCCTGCTCTCCGGGTCTCCTGAAGGGCTGCTATGTCGATGTTAAAGCGTCCCAGCTCCCTTGCAATGATGGCAGTTCTGCGTTCAGGACGTTCACTGTCACTGTTGTCCATCAGTGTCCGTACATTCCATGTACCGAAGTTCATATTTCTTTTTTGGCCGCAGGGTGGTGACCCCACTGGACGCAGCAGTCCAGTCAGGGATGAGAGAGGCATACATATACTGGTGGTATATGTATTGTGGTATAATAATATAGTACTATATATATAGTGACAGACTTTGTATTTCTAGGGGCAAAGATTACTGCAGATGCAGACTGTAGCCAGGAAATCAGAAGACGCTTACTTCTTGGGAGGAGAGCAATGTCCAGTCTCGATAAAATAGTGAAGAGTAGAGACATCAGACTGGCAACAAAGATCCGCCTAGTCAAAGCCATGGTATTACCTGTAGTCACCTACGGATGTGAGAGCTGGACCTTAGGGAAGGCTGAGCGAAGGAAGATCGATGCCTTTGAACTGTGGTGTTGGAGGAAAGTTCTGAGAGTGCCTTGGACTGCGAGAAGATCCAACCAGTCCATCCTCCAGGAAATAAAGCCCGACTGCTCACTGGAGGGAAGGATACTAGAGACAAAGTTGAAGTACTTTGGCCACATCATGAGGAGACAGCAAAGCCCAGAGAAGACAATTATGCTGGGGAAAGTGGAAGGCAAAAGGAAGAGGGGGTGACCAAGGGCAAGATGGATGGATGGCATCCTTGAAGTGACTGGACTGACCTTGAGGGAGCTGGGGGTGGTAACGGCCGACAGGGAGCTCTGGCGTGGGCTGGTCCATGAGGTCACGAAGAGTCGGAGACGACTGAACGAATGAACAACAACATATATATATATATATATATATATATATATATATATATATATATATTCTACATATAGCAAAATATCTGCATATCTAGCTATCTGTATAATATTGTAATATAATATTATTGTAACATAATAATAGTAATATATATATATATTATTAATAACATTGAAATATATATTGTATATATTGCAATTTATGATATAATACAATATATTATGTAATACTAAGTATAACATACTGGTGGTATATGTATTGTGGTATAATAATATATATAATAATAGTATATATATGCTTCTGCATATAGCAAAATATCTGCATATCTAGTTATCTATATAATATTGTAATATAATATTATTGTAACATAATAATAGTAATATATATATATATATCATATTAAAAATGTTGAAATATATATTGTATATATTGCAAGTTATGATATAATACAATATATTATATAATACTAACAGTATAACATACTGGTGGTATATGTATTGTGATATAAAAATATAGTACTATATGTGTGTGTGTGTGTATGTAAAAGGTAAAAGGTAGTCCCCTAACATTAAGTCCAGTCATGTCTGACTCTGGGGTGTGGTGCTCATTTCCATTTCTAAGCCGAAGAGCCGGCGTTGTCCGTAGACACCTCCAAGGTCATGTGGCCGCATGACTGCATGGAGCGCCGTTACCTTCCCACTGGAGCGTACCTATTGATCTACTCACATTTGCATGTTTTCGAACTGCTAGGTTGGCAGAAGCTAGGGCTGACAGCGGAAGCTCACGCCGCTCCCTGGAATCGAACTTGTGACCTTTTGATCAACAAGCTCAGCAGCTCAGTGCTTTAACCCACTGTGCCACTGGGGGCTGTGTGTGTGTGTGTGTCCTTCTGCATATATCTACATATCTAGCTATCTACATAACATTGTAATATAATATTATTGTAATATAATAATAGTAATATATATATAATAATGTTGAAATATAATATATATTGTATATAGTACAAGTTATGGTATAATACAATATATTATATAATACTAATAGTATAACATACTGAATGTATATGTATAGTGGTATAATAATATAGTATATATATATATATATATATATATACACACACACACACACACACACACACACACACATACATATAATATTATTTGTAATAGAGTAATATGGTGGTATAGTACAATATAATAATACATAAAACTAATATTGTGCCATGCTAATAATATAATATATTGTATATACATAAAATATTAATTATAATTGTATTAATTATAATATTACTGATAATATTTAATTTCAATGTTTACAGCCCGGCCATGGTGCCAGCAATTTAATGCCATGGTTAGAGGATCGCAGATTGATTGGGTCTGAACTGATGTGTTTATATGTGCATGTGTTCTATTTTATTGTATTTTATATTATGTTCACTTTAATGTTTGTTTTTAGGTATTTTTTTCAGCTGTAAGCCGCTCCGAGTCCCTTCAGGGAGATAGTAGCAGGATATAAGAATAAAGAAGTTGTTGTTGTTGTTGTTGTTGCAGGATATAAGAATAAAGTAGTAGTAGTAGTTGTTGTATCCCTGCCTCATGCACAGAAGAATTGTTTAAAGGTACAGACAATACGGTCACTGTTTATGGTCTAAAATTATTTAGCCACTTGTGCTTTCTTTATTTTATCGGTTTTATATTTATTTATGCAATTCTATTGACATGAAAATAAAAATAATAATAACTGATAATATATAATGATTTTACTGTTTTATTATTATATATTTGTATATTTTAAGTTGTAATGTTTTTAATTGTGAGCTGCTTTGAGTCTCCATATGGAGAGATAAAGCAGGATAAAAATAATAATAATAAATTATAATACATCAATATCTATGCTCTCAGTTAATCGGCACCCACGAGGATGGCTGGGTACCAGATAAATGTAGTTGCTGGTTGCTTGAGAGTTACTATTAAAAACTCGCAAGAACCAGTCCACTTCCGAGCACAATTCAAAGTGCTGGCTTTGGCCTATAAAGCCCTGTACAGTTCTGGCCCAGCTTACTTGTCCAAACGTAACTCCCTCTATGATCCACCTCGGAGCTTAAGATCATCACGTGAGGCCCTGCTCTCGATCCCACCACCCTCGCAAGCGCGATTGGCAGGGATGAGAGACAGGGCCTTCTCAGTGGTGGCCCCCCATCTGTGAAACACACTCCTCAGTGAAATCAAGTTGGCCCCCTCTCTCCTATCCTTTAGGAAAAAAGCTCAAATCATCACTGGGGGACCAAGGATTCAGGAAGCAGGCAATAACTCATTGCTATAATTCATGAGAATTGACAATGGACAGGTTTCGGACTGGGACTCTGGACGCTGAGCTGGATTTGGACTTGGTTGTGTTTAGAGGAATAGATTTATCTCACTTCCTGTTGTCTCACCCCTGTTGTTACCTATGAGTAGTTTGTAAGTTGGATGTTTGTAACTTGGGGACTGCCGGTACTTCTATCCAATCTTTATTATTATTTATTATTATTATTTATTATATTTATATACCATCCCTCTCAGCACATAGGTGACTCGGGGCAGTTCACAATAGGTACCAAGACCATAAAATACAATTAAAAACATTAAAAGAATATAAAACCATAGCAAAATGAATAACAAACATATATCATTAGCGTCTCCTTGCTAAAAACATTGACCAATCACATCGTCTAATCGTTCCATTTTCCTCTGTCAGTTGCACTGTACTTGCAAACACTTGCTCAAAAAGCCAAGTCTTGACTTTTCTCCGGAATGTTAAAAGGGAGGGGGCCGATCTGATATGCCTAGGGTGGGCGTTCCATAGCCGAGGGGCCACCACTGAAAAGGACCTGTCTCTCGTCCCCGCCAGCCATGCTTGTGATGAGGGTGGGATCGAAAGCAGGGCCTCCCCAGACAGTTTCATGTCCTCCAACTCTCCCAGTTAATCTTCTGCCATCCCACATTTCCATTAAAATGCTCTAGTTTTTCTTTCTTCCACCCACTTTCTCTCTTTACTTCCACTGCTACAAACGGAATTTAAAGTGCAAATGACATTTATACTCACAAAGGGAGCAGAGAGTGTGACGGCGCAACTGGCGCCACTTGTATGTAAATATATAATTGAGTTGCTTGGTTATCTACAGCTTTCGATCAATGTTGTTTTGCATGGGTTGAATTGCACCCCCAGCACAATTGTTTAGCTCCACCCCTTCCTATTGAGGAAGGCAGTGCTTCTTTTTTCATTCCACCAACAAACAACTCAACAGATGGATGTGAGAAAGGCTTGGCTCTAAGCCCTTAGTCAAGTCAGCTCTTACCAGCAATTCTTAAGTTTATACACTTAAGATTCATCCTTCATGCCCAGCTCACCTGGACGACGTTGAGGAATCTTAAGCGTCTTCAAACCAGTCCTTTGGCATCAAGAGGAGGTCTTTGTGCCTTCAATATAGATCATTGGACTGGGGTTGTGAATGTTCTGACTTCATTGCCATTGAGAAAGAGGGAACTTGGAAAGCTTCTCAGCTGGAAAACCCCTTGGACCCAAGACTCCAGAAACAGTAACGTATATTTTCTTTACCCCCTTTTTGAAACATCAAGTTTAATGCCTCAGAAAGATAACTCCTTGTGAACAATAAAGCCTATTTCGAGTTATCTATAGTGTCTTGATCCTTGAGAGTTCCAGGTCTCTAAAGGAAGGCAAGAAGCAATCCCCTGGGGAAAAGATGTCACGTCCATGTGACGGCATAGAGAGTAAGGGGAAATCCTGCCCTTCCCAGTCAGCTCATGCAAAACAAATACCTTGTGTATTGCAGCCTTTCATAGCTTACCTGTTCTTCCTTGTCAATCACTTTTCGCCTCTTGACTCCACTCTGCAGAGGAAGATGGCCTAGAGCTGTGTCGATCGACAAGGCAGAAATCAATGTGCCTCTCTTGAGTTATAAATCTCCAAAACTTCTCATAAGATCATTCAGACTTTCAGCAGCTCGTCGTTGGTTGAACAGAGTGAGAAGCATAGCAAGTTTGCGTTGTTACAAAAGAGTGCCTGTCTGAATGTTTGGCCTTTTATCTTGGCATCAAGTCAAGCTCATGATATCGCAAACACCAGGTGTCTAAAGCCGAGCCAACTATGCAAAACAGCAACCCTACCTGCTGCTTTCCAGGGTTATTGCATCATCTTGGTTTCAGGCTTGCAACATCTAAAGAGATACAATTCTTGTGTGCCCATTTTATCAGTGCCACTGTTTTCGATTTTTAAAAAGTTCTAATTCACAAGGTGCAACAAAAGATTATTTGTTTCCCACGTAACCACCTTGTGAAATTCATCACAGAGGTTCTTATTTCGGGAATAAGCGAGTTAGTAAGAAAATACATGGAAATTAAAAAATGGGCCGTTTAGGGAATCTATATTATTATAGGAGCCCCGGTGGTGCAGCGGATTAAAGTGCCTGCCTGCTGAACTTGCTGATCGAAAGGTTGGCAGTTCGAATCCGGGGAGTGGAATGAGTTCTACCTGATAGCTCCAGCTTCTGCCAACCTATAGGTATCGCTTTGGAGGGACATGTATTATATGTGTGTGTATAAATGGAAGTCTCTGGAGCTCCACTCTTCTCTCCTACCTTCTTCTCCCAAGGCTTTAATGCAGTTAAAAAAAAACCTGAATTGGAGGTCTCTGGAACTTGGATCTTCCCCCCTTCCTCCAAAGAACTCCATTCCAGGTTTTGTAAACTCCCTTAAAGCATCGGAAGAAGGAGAGAGGAGAGAAGAGTAGAACTTCAGAAACCTCAGTTTTGACGTTTTTTAACTGCTTTGCTTTCCAAGAGAAAAGGAAGGAAGGGAAAATTAGCACCAAATGGGGTTGCGACTGTTCTGCGAGGAAAACAGAAATGCTAATTTTGGCACCAAAAAAATGGGGATGCGATTTTTATGTGGTGGTGACTATTATGTGATGAAATACAGTGTATATAGATATGTTTAGAAATGTGTGTCTGTATATGTTCATGACTGAAGCCCTGAAATTTTTCAGGTTAAAAAAAAGCCTGTTTAACTCATGAGTTTTAACTGGTTAACCAAATCCCCATGGTAAATTTATGAGAAGCAAAAATTAAATGTATTGTCGATGCAACCAAAAGGCCCACGATATGGTTCAGATATGTGGATGACACCTTCACCATTTGGAGCCATGGAGAAGAAGAACTCAGCAGGTTCCTGGACCATCTTAACAGCATCCACCCAAACATCCAGTTCACCATGGAAAAAGAAAATGAAGGAAGACTGCCTTTTCTAGATGTCCTAGTCATCCGCAAACCAGATCAACAATTGGGTCACACCGTTTACAGAAAACCCACACACACAGATAGATACCTACATAAAAACTCCAACCATCACCCAAGTCAAAAAAAAGCACCATTAAAGCCTTGGCAGACCGTGCAAAAAGAATCTGCGAACCCCACCTCCTCCAAGATGAACTGAACCCACCTCAACTGGGCTCTCCAGGCCAATGGATACTCCACCTCAGACATCAGAAGAGCTGCAAGACCAAGAACAAGCCACGAGAGTCAAGATGAAGATCCACCCAGAGGAAAAGTGTTCCTGCCATACATCAAGGGAACCACTGACCATAGGGAAGCTGATGAGGAAACACAACATACAAACAATCTACAAACCCACCAAGAAAATCCAACAAATGCTACGTTCAGCAAAGGACAAGAGGGATCCTATCACCTCTGCAGGAGTCTACCGTATACCATGCAGCTGTGGACAAGTCTACATAGGGACCACCAAACGCAGCGCCCAGACACGCATCAAGGAACATGAAAGGCACTGCAGACTACTTCAACCAGAGAAATCAGCCATAGCAGAGCACCTGATGGACCAGCCTGGACACAGCATATTATTTGAGAACACAGAAATGCTGGACCACTCTCACAACCACCATGTCAGACTACACAGAGAAGCCATTGAAATCCACAAGCATGTGGACAATTTCAACAGAAAGGAAGAGACCATGAAAATGAACAAAATCTGGCTACCAGTATTAAAAAACTCTAAAATTACAACAGCAAAACAACAAAGAGGAAACAACCAGGCACAGATTAACACCTCCCAGCAAGAGATTTTCCCAGGCTCAGGCAGGCCTTCAAATGCTAATGAAGGTGATCAGCTGAAACATTCACACCTAACTGCAGCAGGGAAGAGCTCCTTGCCCCACCCCAGCCATTCCACAGATATATAAACCCTTTGTCCTAATTCCAACAGACCTCACTACCTCTGAGGATGCTTGCCATAGATGCAGGCGAAACGTCAGGAGAAATGCCTCTAGAACATGGCTCTATAGCCCGAAAAAACCCACAAGAACCTAAAAATTAAATGAGTCCCTCCAGAACTGCAAGCACTATCTCAAGCAAATTTTGCCAATTTATTCACAGTCATTACTTGTAGAATAGCTGATATAGTGGAAGCAACCAAGTTGGCCCACCCACAACTGATAGACAAAGTCTAAGGCATGGAAGGGATTTGAAGCCCCACACGAAGGAGACAAGAAAATTGATTTTATTAAGTCTATATAAAATATAGAATGATTCATACTATTTATTTTGTCTTATGGAACTACTTCTCATGATTCACTAAATAATTTTTTTTCAACCACCCCCCCTCCGATATTTTTTTTTTTGCTACACTTTTGTATATATTGTAACCAGCCTCAAGCCGCAAGGAGAGACAAATAATAAATCTCTCTCTCTCTGTGTGTGTATATATATACTAGGGCTGGGCGGTTTCATTCGTTAATTTCGTAATTCGTTATTAATTCGTATTTAAATTAGCTTAAGATCCGATATTGAGCCATTTTGGAATAGTGTGAGGAGTTAAATAGATTCGAAACAATTTTTCAATTTATTTTGTAATTGTTTTGAAATTGTTTCAAAATTGTTTCGTAATTATTTTCGCATTCCTGGTGCAAGTTTTATAGTTGTTGTTTGTTTTATCACACCAACAGTCAACAACAGAGGGAGAGGGAAGCTTCAGAAGTTCCCCCTGTCCCATTTGGAGGTTTTTTCAGCATATTTTTAGCATATTTGGAGGGTTTTTTTAGCATATTGCGCAATCGCGTCCGCCATTAACGAATCGATTCGAAATTTACGAAATTTCGTATATTTCGAAATTTTTAAAAGGAAAATTTTGGAATTCTTTAAAGAAACGAAACATGATGGACCCCTTAAAAACGAATCGCGTTTAGAAACAAATTTTTCCGTGGTTACCCAGCCCTAATATATACACACACATACACAAACACATTATTATATTGTAACCAACCTCAAGCAGCAAGGAGAAACAGATAATAAATCTGAGAGATATATATGATTTATACACACACACACACAAACACATTTAATTATTTATTTATTTATTTATTACTGCGCTTGTATACCGCCGTTTCTCAGCCTAAATCGGCGACTCAACACGGTTTACAACACACAACAAGCAACAATATTCCATTAAAAAAGCATAAAAACACATACACAATACATAATATTATTGGGCCACCAATAACAATCCAAATGCATCTCGTAATTATAATCGCAATCCAATTTCGTCGTCTGTGATTAACTAATCCTTGTTCATCAATTTCGTTGCACCGAATTAATCGAATGCTTGTTTAAACATCCATGTCTTCAACCTTTTTCGAAATACCATCAGCGAAGGGGCTGATCTTACCTCCATGGGGAGGGCATTCCAAAGCCGAGGGGCCACCACAGAAAAGGCCCTGTCTCTCGTTCCCGCCAGCCGCACCTGTGAAGCAGGCGGGATAGAGAGCAGGGCCTCCCCAGAAGATCTTAGGGTCCTGGTGGGCTGATAGGCCGAGATACGTTCGGATAGATAGGTTGGGCCAGAACCGTTTAGGGCTTTAAAGGCCAGCGCCAGCACTTTGAATTGAGCCCGGTAGCAAATCGGCAGCCAGTGGAGCTGGTACAGCAGAGGAGTTGTATGCTCCCTGCGTCCCGCTCCGGTTAGTATCATGGCTGCCGCCCGTTGGACTAATTGGAGCTTCCGAGCCGTCTTCAAAGGCAACCCCACGTAGAGAGCATTGCAGTAGTCAAGACGGGATGTAACCAGAGCGTGGACTACCGTGGCCAAGTCAGACTTCCCAAGGTACGGTCGCAGTTGGCGCACAAGTTTTAACTGTGCGAATGCTCCCCTGGTCACCGCCGAAACCTGGGGCTCCAGGCTCAGTGATGAGTCCAGGATCACACCCAAACTGCGAACCTGCGTCTTCAGGGGGAGTGCGACCCCGTCTAACACAGGCTGTAACCCTATACCCTGTTCGGCCTTGCGACTGACCAGGAGTACCTCTGTCTTGTCTGGATTCAATTTCAATTTGTTCGCCCTCATCCAGACCGTCACAGCGGCCAAGGACCTGAACAGCCTCCTTAGTAGCAGGTGGAAAGGAGTGACAGAGTTGGACATCATCTGCATACAGATGACATCGCACTCCGAAACTCCGGATGATCTCGCCCAGCGGCTTCATGTAGATGTTAAACAACATGGGAGACAGTATTGAACCCTGTGGAACCCCACAAGACAAAGGTTGTGGGGTTGAACAGGAGTCCCCCAGTAACACCTTCTGAGACCGACCCTCGAGGAATGAGCGGAGCCACTGCAGAACAGTACCTCCAAGACCCATCCCCGCGAGGCGTCCCAGAAGGATACCGTGGTCGACGGTATCGAAGGCCGCTGAGAGGTCGAGCAGCACCAACAGGGACACACTCCCCCTGTCGAGCTCCCGGCACAGATCATCCACTAAGGCGACCAAGGCTGTCTCGGTACCATGCCCCGGCCTAAAGCCAGACTGTGCCGGGTCCAGATAATCCGTGTCTACCAAGAATGCCTGGAGTTGTGAGGCCACCACACGTTCCAGAACTTTGCCCAAAAAGGGGAGATTGGAAACAGGCCGATAGTTGACGAATTGAGTGGG